CCATCCATCCATCCATCCATCCATCCATCCATCCATCCATCCATCCATCCTTTCATGCCTCTACCCATACACCTGACCATCCATCCGTCTTCCACACATCCACTCATCCATGCATGAATGCACCTATCCTTGTTTCCATGCATGCATGCACTCATTTGTCCACCCTTCCACCCATCCCTCCACCCCTCCATTCATCCACCCATCCATCCTTCTATCCATCCATCCTTCCATTCATCCTTTCATACCTTAATCTCTCCATCCATCCCTCCACACATCCCTCTATCCCTCCAGACCTGCAGCCCTTCCAGCACTGAGAGGGGGCACCGTGACCAACTGCCTCGTTGGGCAGGAGAGCTGATTAAATGAAGGTGTTAATGAGGAGTTTTCCAGACAAGCGATGATGTGGTGTGGTGTCTGGGCACTGTGACAGCAACATGGAGCTGGAGAGAAAGAAACAGAAGGGGAAACTGAGGCAAGTTCTAGCACAGTGCTCCCTTGTCCCTGCTAAATGCTTTGGCCACGGTCCCAGCCACCGTGCGCCCACCGCAGGCCAGACACCCCAGTGGCTCTTTGGTTGCCTGCTTGGCTAGAGATGTGGCTGATGGGGTGGCTGGATGGCTAGGCAGCCGGCTAGTGGGCTTGCTGGCAGCTGGCTAGCTGGTTGGCTGGCTGGTGGGCTGGTTAGCTATCTGGCTGACTCGATGGCCAGCAGGCTGGCTGGTTGGCTAACTGGCCGGTTGACCATCAGGCTTTCTGGCTAGCTGGGTGGCCAGCTGGCCAACAGACTGGCTGGGTGACTCAGGGAGCTAGCTGGCCAGCGGGCACGAGCTAACCCTCATACCCAGCTCAGTGCTGGGCAATGCCCCCATCCTAGGGGTGACCCTGGCGCAGCTTTGGGGTGAGGCTGGGGCACTACATCCCCCAGCCCGTCCCCATTGCATGGATGCTCATTACAGAGGCTGTGGGCGCAGCGGGGCCACCACCCTCCCACCGCTTGGCAATTAAGGGCTGCCAACACCGATACTTAATTAGAGCCTGGCTGATCGAGACAGCCGGTGACTGATGGAAAATCACTGCTTGCCTGGCAGCAGGGGACAGGGATGAGGTGGGCGGACGGGACCAGCTGGGGGACCATGGGGACACGTTCCCCAGTGCATTGGGGACCACGGGGACGCATCTCCCAGTGGGTTGGGGACCGTGCAGTGACAGGGGTGACGGCCTACAGGACGTGCAGGGGAGCGGCCGTGGCACTGCCAAGCAGCACTGCGTGACACCCCCAGGCCACGCAGTGACAGCAATGCTGGGTGACACCCGCAGGCCACGTGCTGGCGGCAACGCTGTGCGATGTGCTGCGGGACGGCGGTGACGTGAGGCCGGGTGACACCCGTGGGCCATGCAATGACATGGCGCTGTGTGACACCCGTGCACCAGGCAGTGACAGTGACTCTGTGTGACAACCCATGGGAGCTGCAGTGACACTGTGTGGCACCCCGTGGCCAGGCAGCAACAGTGACACCCCGTGCAGCGTGCAGTGACAGTGACACCGTGTGACACCACGGACGGTGACGCCGCGGGGCTGTGCTGCAGCACTGTGCCACGCGTGCAGGACCGTGTGGTGATGGTGACACTGTGCCATGCTGCAGGGACCACGTGGTGACTGCGACCGGGACACCGGTGCCGTGAGTGACACCACTCAGCCCTCTCCTCCTGTCCCTAGGGGCCCCTCTTTGGGTGTTGGGTCCCAATCCATGCCTGGGGACAAAGGGACACTGCACTGTCCCCACAGCCTGGGTGCCTCCACGGACCCATGCTGGGTGGCAGCCACCATTGTCACAAGCACGGAGGTCTCAAGCAGACCTCGTCTACCCAGATGGATGTGCATTGCCCTTCGGGTTCCCTCCAGAGCCATCGATTGAGCTGTCGATGGCACAGAGCTGAGCCATTTGTCACCGGTGGGGACAGCCGCTGAGTGCAGGGTGTCCCTGAAAGGGTCAGGGATGTGGCCACAGGGTGTGCCCCAGGTTGTCCCCAAAACTGAGGGACATGGCAGCCAGACAAGGACACCCGCAATGGGGGACCATCGTTGGGTACCCATGGGGGACGCAGCATCCAATTCCAAAGCCGTGCACTGGGCTCAGCGTCCTCCCTACGGGTGCCAGCTGTGCAGCCAGGACACAAGATGGATGACCCCCCACAGCTGGGCAGTGCACATCCCCATCCCCACGCTGGGCAGCACTGCGCCTCTCAGCCCCCCTGAAATCAGCCCTCCCTTGGCCCTACTAAACTCATTAGTGCCTGGGAAACGTCAGCGGGGCGGGAGCGGAGCGCCAAATGTGATTACTGTGCCAGCCTCACTGCCCCCGGCCTCATCGCAGCCCCATTTATCGCGGAGGCAGCGAGCCGGGAGGGAGGAACGCAATCAGTGCTTATCTCTGGCTTAGCCTGTCCTGCTCCAGCCCTGATTTATGGCTTGCTGGGAGGGACTCCCGGCCCCGACATCACCACCGCAATTAAAGGCACATTAAAAAGCAGGAGAGGGGCATGACGGAGAGTTATTGCTTGTGCTGGGATGCTCAGACTAAGCAGCCCAGGGCCGGGACCCACAGGTCCCTGCAGCCACGCTAACTGCGGGACCCGGAACCCTGCTGCACTCTGTGCTCATGAGCCCAGAGCTGAGAGCAGAGCTCAGGGGCAGGGCTGAGCCATGGCCCTGCAGGAACCGAGGCTGCAGAGCTCCTGGGACCAGAACCAGGCTCTGCATCAGGAACACATCAGCGTGCTCGTAAGCTTTGCTTGCACACAATGAACTTTACAGAGCGCAGCCGTGCCCCAGCATAGGAACAGCCTGGGAGAAGGCCAGGAAAAGAGCAGCGCTGCAGCCCGGAAATCTCAGAGCCACGGGGAGCTGTCTGCTGGTTAGTGCTTTACTAAACCAAACGCCAAGAGCCAGCACCCGCCTCGCCCAGGCTCATCCTCTCCAGTAGTGCCTTCCCAAGGGGCAGCTCCCGGGTCTCAGCCCCTCTGGGGTGCATCAGGCCCTCAGCATCTTCCCCCTTTGGGAGGTAATGCTCACGGGGTTGTTCAGGCTGCAGAAACACGGGGCAGAGGGGATGCGAGCAGCCAGCTGTACACCCAGCCCCGGGGAATGACATGCTGCTGGTTCCCAACCACAGGTTTAAAGTGAAAGAAGGGAAAATCTCATATCTAATCCCAGGGGATCAACCTGGGGACAGTTAGCAGCAGGAACCAGATCTGAGAGCCCACCTATTCCCCCCATAAAGAGATTGCCATGGAAGAGGCTGAAGTGCCTGAATTCACCACAGGTCGGAATGCCACCATTCAGATCTCCGTGGGGCTAAGAAGGGCCTCATCCCCTCCATGGGAGCTGTCTCATCCACAGATGGGCATCAGCCCCTGAGCAGAAAGTTAAAGAACAGAGATGGGAGACGACGCTGGAAGAAAACTCACATTCACCTTGGGAAGTCAGCAGGAGAAAACCTCACCCCGCCGTCTGCATTCAGCTGGCAAAGCTCATTAAAACAGGTGGCCTTTCAGTGCCCTTTTCAAACCTGGAAATCCAGGCCTTCGGAAAACAACTGAGGGGAAAAAAAAAATAAAAAGAAAAAAAAAACCCTAAAAAGGTGAATTAAGAGATGAAACATTGGAGGAGGAGGTACAGCAGCCCTCCGAGCGCAGCCACGGCCGTCCCCACCGCCAGCCGTGCCCACAGGAAGTCCAGGGAATCCTCCAGCCTCGCGTGCAGCCGCAGCACCTGCTGGCGCGTGCTCTCGCGGTCGCCGGAGTTGTCGATGACGTGAGCGGCCAGGCGGCGCTTCTCATCCAGCGGCAGCTGCGAGGCGATGCGTGCTTCGGCCTCAGCCTGGGACAGCCCGCTCCTCTTCCTCAGCCGTGCCAGCTGGGTCTGCGGGTCGCTGCGGGGCAGAGGCGGCGCTGAGTTGGGCGCGGAGGGACGGGGAGGTGGCCCAGTGCTCGCGGCTCGTGTGGCGCTTACCAGTACACCAGGACGGTGTGCTTCATGAACTTGGTCAACCTCTTGGTCTCGAAGAGCAGAGGGATGTCGAGGATCACGTAGCGGTAGCCTGCAGGAACGACAACACCCCCAAAAGGGTCGGCGTTACACGCATTCCCAACAGCCTCACACGTGTGCTGCAGCTGCTCCGGCAAAACTCTCCGTGAACGCAGCTGCTCCGAGAGAAGAGCAGCCCCCCTCCTTTCAGACAGAGGAAATGGTTTCAGTCCAAGTTTCTGCAGGGGAAAGAAGAAAAAAAAACAAAACCAACCGAAACCCTAACCTGGATGATCTCAGACCAAAGGTGAAGCTGCAGAAATATAATGAGGAGATGAAACAAGAAGCTCAAATGGAAGCGGCAGTGCAGTGCTGGCAGGAGCAGCAGTCACACGTCGTCGCCAGCCTCTCCAGGGGAGCAGCGCCCACAGCAGAATTTGCTCTTCTCTCTTTCAGCTGTCCGAGGCTCTGCCAGGCTGCAGTCAGCTAAGCCGATGTTTCCCGGCTCATTTTCCAGCTTAGTTTTCTTCCCTTTTGGAAAGCTTTAGCTAAGCAGTTTCACTTTTCCCAAAGAGAGCAAGGAGATCCTTGCAGACGGCTCTGCTGGTTTATAAACAAAGCCAGTGCTCCCCATCCAACCAGGCCACGGCAACGAAAGCCTGGACAAAGGCACAATCCCCCAGCAAACCACCATTTTACCAGCATCTGTCTAGAGATGCTTCTTGCTGCCCTATGGCTTGATCAATAGAGCCTTCCTTACAGAGCAATCCTCGGAGACAGCATCCAGCTATCCCAAATCATTAAAACCTGACTAATGAGGACAAAGCAGCCTGCTGAACACACACTGCACTCTCGCCAAGGGGCAGGACAGGGCCTTCCTTCTGAGTTTGCAGCCTGGGTTCAGAACTCGGAGTGTTTTGGCTCCCAGCTCTCCTGCCCGTTGTTTCCCTCGCCTTCTGCTCCTTCCATCCCAAATCTTGGGGTCCCTGCACAGCCCTATTCAGCTGTCAAGCAGCTCAGCTTTGATAAGCTCCACAAAACCAGACTGACTCTATTAAGACATCCTTCTGTCTACACGGAGACCTCCAAAACAGCTGGTGATCTTATCTGGCATTTGATTAGACCAAGTCTGACAGCTGCATTTGTTATATTTATCAGGGGGAAAAGCGGGACTTTGGAAAGCACAGCTGTCAGCCCATTTCTCACCTTATCGAGACTAAAAGTGCTCTGCAGCTTTCATCGAAGCCCAGGGAGGCTGGGAGCGGGGAATAATATTTGGCCATTTCAGAAGGTATGACATTATCCAAAGAGCAATCTCCAAAGAGGCCTCACAATGCCTTTCTCAGGCCCTGCAGATGTACTGTAAACCATAGAAGAAGAATGCGAAGGGCAGCGGTGAAAGGCAGGAAGGGCAGCGACGAAAACTCGGAACGCCGAAGCTAAAGGCCAACAGCGGCGGAGCACAAAGGCGGCCACTCAGCTCCGCTTCCCTTCCCTGTCCCTTTCTCCACGTTGACACGGGCACAGCCAGCAGCCCCGCCGCCCTTACCTAGCACAAAGTACTTCAAGACTTGCTTCAGCATCTCCTTCTGGATCTCGGGGTGGGTGATGGCGTTCAGCAGCCGCCGTTTCTCGGGGTGGGAGAAGATGATGTTTCCCAGCGCCTCGCGGTCGATCTCTCCGCTCTCCAGGAGGATCTCGGGGCCGAAGCAACGCACGATCTGCCGATAGGCCTTCAGGCGGGGCTGCACCACTGATAACATTAAACAGCCGGAGGTCAGAGACAACCGCACGGCACAGGCAGCTTTTGCATCAGCGATCGGCCTCAAATGAGGTTTGCTCATTAAACAACAGAGCTTGAGAGCGCATCTGCCCGCCAGCACGCACCGGCAGACAGCTGGCACCGGCGCTGCAGGCAGCGCTCCGCAAACTCTCAGCCCAAGGTCCCTCCGAGGGCTGACGCCTGGGGATCGAAGCGCTCTGGGGACATTAATTCAGCGCCACGACCGCCTCGGACGTGCTGCACCGCCGGCTCTGGCTGTCACAAAGGTGTTTTGCTGCTTTTAGCCTCAGCCACCAAATTCTTTGTGAGAACGAATGCGGCGAGCGCCTCAGAGATCGATTCCCAGCAGGTATTTGGGGGGGACTCTGACGTTAAACGGGCATCAAAATCACCAACAGAAAGGATGAAATAATAAAAATGTAATTAAGATCAAGCTGAGGCTGGCCACAGAGAGTGGCAAACCAGATGTAATTTCCTCTCAGAAATCCAGGAACGTTGCCACAGGTTGTAACCGTGGGCCAACCTAATAAAAGTCTTTAAGACCAATTTCTTTCTCCATCAGAATTTCAGAGCGAGGCCGTTGCAGGGTGGGGCAGATCCATACGTGAGCACACACACATAAAAAAGGAATTGGAGGAAAACGAAGCGATTGGTAGAAAACTGACATCAAGCATCCGTAGCGCTTTCCTACGGCCTCCGAGGGCTCTGAGCACCTCCAGCAAATTTCCAGCGCCTCCAGGGGAATTACAGTGCAATAAAACGTGAGAGCATCGCAGCTTTGAGTGGCTACATGCTAAGATCTTCCACAAACAGAGAAGCGCTTCAAAATGACACAGCCTGCACCGCTGCTCAGCCCCAGCGCCGGGGTTTCTAAGCAGCAAGGTGCAGACGTGCAGGAGCACAGCCTGAATTCCCTCTGAGCTGAGATCTTTGCAGCCTTTTTTTTTTTTTTTTTTTTTTTTTGAGCACATTAAGGCACAAATGATTTTGTGGATGGATTTCTCTGTATTCACAGCCAGCACCGGGGGAATTCTTTCAGCTCAATGATACCACCCAGCATAACTGAGTTACAGGGTGAGGTCCTGGGGCTCAGGAGGTCGGATCAGCCCACGGAACCCAGTGTAAGGAGAAATGCATTTCTTTTGCCAAGAGCTCACTTTCAAAGCCGGAAAGCGCTGACTGCATTGCACTCCTGGAGAGGGAAACTCAGGATAAGATCTCCCCTGGCATTTGTTATTAGGACATTATTTTTCTTTTTTTTTTTTTTTTTAATTAGAAATATATCTTAGTTCCAATCCCCTGAGACAGCTGCTCCACACATCCCCATCGGCTGGGGGAATGGGAGGGAAGCAGATCTAATGTACCCAGAGCACCCTCTGCCGTCTGCGCGTCACTGCACATCAATCTCAGTTGTCAGGGGAACATCGGGGAGAAAGATCAGCAATGCAGAACGAACCCTCTCTGGCAATAACATCAGCATCAATCACGGCACAGCCCAGTTCCCGGAGCACGGCCACCACCGTGCTCTTCCCCGACGCGATTCCACCCGAGAGCCCGACCAGGAACATTGCGCTCTGAAATAGAAAGAGAGAGCTGAAAACGTGCCAGGACGCGGCTGTTTTGTTCATCAAATATTTATACCAAACAAGCAACTCCATTCAGAGCCCAGTCATACATTTTCAGGGAGTCACTGAGACATTATTAGAGTCTTGGCACCCCTCTGAGCTGGGTGCCCACGCTGAAGAACAGAGCCAGGTTAAACAAGGCTTCCCCAGAGCATGGGGATTCTGGCTGTGCCTCACCTACAGCGTCCCAAATCAGAGGGCACCCAACGCTTCTGGCAGGGTGACACAGGATCTGTGACAACAGGAAGAACTCACTCAGCACTTCAGCCCACGAGGACAGATAGTGAGCCCTGCTTGATCTCAACAGATGGGGAGCAAGAGGAGACAAGCTACCTTTGACATAATCGGGACGCAGACAACGGGAGACTGCAAGTAAATCACATCTCTGCACTACCTGGAAGCCAGCACTGTCATCGGCAGCACGCACCGCATGGACAGCGCGACGGATGCAAGAAATCACGGCTCTGAGCAGTGAGCTCCTGGCTGTCAGCTCACAAACAGGCATCAGACACACAGCCCTGTGCCTGCTGATAGCCTGGGGGCCGTTCAGCCCTTTGCCAAATCGGCTGCGAGCGGCTCCATCCCCTTAGTAACCACATCCCTGGAGTGGTGGGCTGCTCTTGGCCACCCCTCATCCTCCTCCTAGCCAGACCAGGGGAAGCTCAGCCTCTCCTGGAGAGGCACCTGCCCCAAACCCTGACGATCTGTGTGATTTCAATGCTTCCTCTTTGCTAGAAAAAGACACCTGCGTCACGACTCAGTCCTACAAATGGGATCCAGAGAGGGCTGGATGTGCTCAGCAGCAGCTGAAGGCAGTTTGGCAGAGGGAGGAAATGGGAGTTAGAGCAAAGAGAGGAAAGCCAGCAGCACCTGCCAGCAACTTCACTCTGTGGCTGCTGAGAGTACACAGAGCCCACAGCAGCACCACATGCGCTCTTCTCTTCCTCTTGGCAAACAGATGGGGTTAACTCCAGCAAGAAGGGGGAATTCAGAGAGGGCAGCCACAACAAACATCAGTGATCTCCAAGAGGCTGAAGTAAATCCTGAGCTTTGTTGCCAAGTGAGCACCTGACCCCCATGGAGCATTCCCTCCTCCTATGCCCCCCTCACCTTCAGAGCGGGTTTGGATCCAGCCCTGGATGTTCTACATGTTCTACACCCTGTGATGTGAGCAGTGCTGGTGTGGGGGCGAGGAAGTGGCTCAGGCCATCAGTACCCAGCTTTGTGGGGAGGAAACTCTTCTCCTTGTGTTTAGAAACATAAAACTCTCCTGCCCATGTAAAGTAAATACAGCGTTTCTAAGCGCAGTAACCTCAAGCTGTGGCCCCAGCTGGGACTTGGTCCCAACAAACCTATTTCTGTCCTGTTACGTGATCCCAACGAATCTATTTCTGTCCCTCTGTTATGTGCTCCCAACAAACCTCTTTCTGTCCCTCCGTTACAGACCTCTGTGAGCTGACAGCTGCAGGAATTACTGAGGGGTAAAGGAGCGGTGTGAAAGGCTGGCGTCCAAAATGCAGCCCAATGGAGTTTGTAAGCATTTGTACAGCCACAGGGACCAGACAAGACCCGTGGTGTGAGGTATCAACGTGCTGTGAGGTGTGAATGTTTAACGATTTGATTTGTACACAGGGGCTGATCATCCCTTCCTGCAGGAGCCAGATGCTGCTTTTCCCCCAGAACAGAGCAGTTTGGGGCGGTGTTGGTCTGCCCTAATTAAACAAACAAACAAGAGGAAAGCCAAAACCAGAGGAGAAAAAAATAAAATAAAATAAAGTGGTGAATTCAATGATTTTACCACGCAGAACAGAGAGGCCTAACGGCCCACATCCCAAGGAGCCGTGATTGAAGGCCAAGGTGCACCAACTTCACTCCGAGCCCAGCGCCGGGGGCTCGGCAATGAAAAAAAATGAAATTAAAAGAGAAAAAAGTAAAAAAATAAATCATGATCTCAGCGTGGAAATCCGCAGCCACACCCCCAACCGCAGCCCCTCAGCCGGGCCGAGCCGGACCCGCAGCCTCGCCCCCTACGCACTCACCCGCTGCCGGCTTCGCGCACCACGCAGTGTAGCGCACGCCGATTGGGTGGGAGGAACTGAGAGTGCCGCTCTCAGCCAATCAGCGCCACCCGCATTAGGATCGGTCCGACCCCCTCGGGCAGGAAGCAGGTGGGGGGCGGCAAAGGCTGACGGGAGTTGTAGTTCCCGCCCACGCCTGGCCCGGCCCACGCCTACCCGCACGGACTACCGCTCCCGGCATGCCCTGCGGCGCGCTACCCAATCACAGCGCGCTTTGTTGTGGGGGTGCGGCAGCCGCCGAGGCCCCGTTTCAAGATGGCGGACGACAGTGAGACAGCAGTGAGGCGGCCGCTGGCGAGGCCTCAGCGGCCGTCGGCGGAGGAGAACGACCACGAGCACTGCAGCGACTGCGAGAACGAAGCGGAGCGCGGCTCGAAGCGGGGGTGAGCGAGGCGCGGGGGCGGCCGCGGGGCCCATGGAGGTGGGCAGTGGCTGGGAAGTTAGCGCCGCCCCGCCCCTGGCGCGCGTTGATTGGCCGGCAGATAACATTGCGCGTTGCGATTGGACGAGCCGTTTGTCGGTCGGCCTGGGGGCGGGCCGTTTAGCTTCCATTCACTCCTATATGTGAGAGCGTGTGTGCTGAAGCTGCGGGGTCGGGCCCGATCGTGGCGTGGATGGAGGCGCGGGGCGGAGACCTCGGGGATTCTTGCAGCTTTATGCCGAATTCCGGGTGCTTTGGTGTGTGCCATCCTCCTGCCTGCAGCCCCCGCTGGCTCCTACAGCATCGCCGTGTCATCCACTGCCACCTGCTTGGCACCCATCAGAGCAGTGCTGGGGACACAAGGTGTGAAACGATGACACAGACACTAGCAGTGATCCCACACCATTCACACTGAGGTTTTGTGCCTCTGCCTGGCACATCCCAGCCTCACCAGGCTCCCACCTGCATCCTAGGAACGGCCTTTCTCTTCCCATCAGCAGTGATCTTGCCTGTCTGGTAATAAAAGGTCATGTAAGACATACTACAGAAGCTGTTTTACAGCAGCACAGATGTGCATTTCTATTTTATTTGCCTCCTGGGTGTGGCATCATGTCTCCTTTTAATGGGTTTAGCCATGCTTGGAAAGGTTTCTCTTTTCCTCTGCTCTTACATGATTAGGTTTGCAGGAACCAGGACCAAGCAGAGAGCAGACATGGCATTTAATCACTGTTACTGTGCTTTCTCGGCATGATGTCCCAGTACAGCTGTTCAGATGAATGGTGGCTGATGAGTGAGCTGGGTTAGGAAGGGTTGGGTGCCATTGAGCCAGTCACATAGTCATTAAATTTGGAGGAGTCCTCTAAGATCATCCAGTCCAACCCCAACCCATCCCCACCAGATCCATCCCCTCCATGCCCACTCATAGAACATTAAGGTTGGATAAGACCTCTAAGATCATCCAGTCACACTTCAACCCATCCTGATGTCCACTAACCATGTCCCCCAGCGCCACATCTGCAAGGGCACGAGGTGAGTGCTGTCCCCAGCACAGAGCACAAAGGGGCGGTTTTTGGGAGCTGTGCCTGGGGCTGCCCCTCTGCCAGTGCCCAGTTTGTGCTTGGAGCCATCAGCTCTTGGCTCTAGGCTGTAGGAACTCAGCACTATTACTGAGCGATAGCAGCACTTCCTTTCCTTTTAAGGACAGGAAGGAGGAATTGACATCCCCCGCCGTGGTTCTGTGTCAGCGCTGGGAAGTGGCTCTGTGGTGAAGCACAGAGTTCATTTTCCAACTGAGAAAACTTTTCACACTTTCATGTTTATTCTCATTTCCTTTGTGTGGAAGCGGTGTTTCGTTGCTGTTTCTGGTTTGCTGCAGAACACATCACAGTGATGATGTCCCCGCCATCTGCCCGCCCCCACAGCCTAATGAGATTACCTGCACCCAATTAGCCACACAATTAGTTTGTCAGGAGGATTTTCCAGCATCTAAATGTGGGACAGGCACAGCTCCTCATGCACCACCTCTCTGATTTCTAAGCGTGGAGGTGTTTGAGGAGTTGGAATCACAGAAAGGTTTTGGTTTGATGGGACCTTAAAGCTCATGCAGTTCCACCTCCCCCCACCATGGGCTGGTGACGCCCTGCTGGCTGCCTCACCTCATCTTGTGCCTTAACATCTCTTTCAAGAATCATTAAGGTTGGAGAAGACTTCCAAGATCACCAAGCTCCACCCAACTCGTCCCTGCTATGCCAGCAGCCCATGTCCCAAAGTACCAAGATAGGTCTGGTAGCGCAGCCGGTGTGCCTTTCTCCACCCATGTTATCTGTCAGAGCAGCTCTTGGGTTGACGAGATAGGAGAGGAAAAAGGCTGTGAGCACATCTGGGAGAGCTGTGGGCTCGAGGCAGAGCTGTCTGTTCACTGACAGCTGGGATGGAAAGCAGCCCCATGCACTGTGACTGGGGATGTTTGCAATTCGTGCAGGGCACGGGGGTTAATTTGGGGAGTTGGAGGGGATTGGGCACGCTATTTGTTTTGCTAAATGGACTTTAAAATAGAAAATACCTCTAACCGTTGGTATTTGCTTTGCTAAGTGGGTTTAAAATTGAAAATCCCTCCAAGCACGGCTGTGAGTCCCAAGGACTCCAGCATAGCTCCCATTCACTGCATTACATTTCTTCTGTGCTTTGCCTGATGGGCTGCATTCATTCCCCAGCTGAAATCTGCTAATGCGGAACACTCAGCTCTGATTTCTTCCTGCTCACGACATCTTCACTCATAAATCAGGGAGGTTTTTCTCCTCTCTTCTACCTGTTGGTAAAATAATTCCGCTTGGGCTGAACTTGTTAGCAGGAGTTTGGAATGGAGAGATGCTGTGTGGATCCATGGACCGAAGACGTATCCACACACACAGAGACCTCTTGGCTTTGGCAATGGGGTTTCTCCTGGTATGGAAGCTACTGGAGCCTCTAGCCATGGAGGCAGGCAGCCCTTGGTCCTGGCCACCAGCTCAGATGGCCTCAGTGCATCCAGAGGTGCCTCCAACCTCAACCAATGCATGGTGCTCAGCTGGAGGACAAGGGAAGGAAGGGAACTGTGAGGCCAGGGCTTGGAACAGGGAGCTTTTATTTTCCTTAGGGTGTTTCAGAGACTGTGTAAGTGTCCTCAAAAAAAAAAAACCAACACCAAAAACAAACCAACCCGAAAACTGCAATGATGTTTCTTTTGTTCCCTAGTGGCTTGAGTCCAGTGAATGACAGCGGAGCCAAAAAGAAGAAAAAGAAACCAAAACGGAAGAAAGAAAAAGGAGGAGATCAGCCCGACCAGGCTCAGGACCAGCCAATGAAGGTGAACATCTCAAACCTTTCAGGGCGGTCAAAATTACCCCGGTGCTGACACTGCCTGCTGTTGTATTCAGGCACTTGGCTGCTCGAGAGCCTTCATGTTTAGAGTGATTTCCTGGCTCAGTGCATGGGAATTCCCACTGCTGTGGGAGGTGTTGCTGCAGGGTGAATGCAGCCCGTTGCTGGGTATCAAAGCCAGCTCCACTGAAAGGCTCAGACTGGCGCCTCTCAGCTGCTCTTCCCGAAATCAGAGCGGGGATGGCAGGGAACGGCCGCTCTGTGCCACCGTGCCTGGCTGCCAGCACAACAAACCCATTTTCCTACACTTGGACAACATTCCCTGGTGTTGATTTTTGTTCAATTAACATAAGAACAGCAGCAGGGGCTGTCTGCCCCTCTTGGCTTTGCCCTGGACTAGCAGCGAGAGCCTTGGGAAGGAGCATGGGAGGTGCAGGGTTTGTCCCTACCCCATTGGTACCCCCCAGCACTCCTCACGAGGAGCTGAAACACAGACCTACAAGCTCAGCATCCTCATTTTGTCCTTTTTTTTTGCCCCAGGTCAACTCTTTGCCCGCTGAGAGGATCCAGGAGATTCAGAAAGCCATTGAGCTCTTCTCTGTAGGCCAGGGCCCTGCCAAAACCATGGAGGAGGCCAGCAAGCGCAGCTACCAGTTCTGGGACACGCAGCCAGTGCCCAAGCTCGGTATGTGGCCCGGAGCCCCCAGGCTGTCCCAAGAAGCCCTCACAGGAGATGGGAGCATAGTATGTAGGTTTATCTGAAGTTGTTGTGGCTGCAGATTGTCTGCACAATCTTCACAAGGCAGTTCCCAACACTTCTTGCTGCAAACGCCGCGTGTGATTCCCTTTTCATGCTGTCAGCACCCGTCCGAGGCTTTGTTTGGTCTCAAAGGGCTGTTTGCTGGAAGTGATACCCAGCTTTGGTCCCTCTTTGTGCTTGTGCTGGGAAATCATTGTGGAATACCAAAGGCACGGGGTTACTGAGGCAGCAAAGCCTGGTTTGTGTTTGCCCCTTTCACCAGAGGATCCTGACGTGGCAAACATCGCTTCTGTGCCCGAAAACCCCATTAGTTGGGAGGTACAGCATGAAAGGGGTGGGGAAGGAGAGGCACCGAACAGCCACAGTGCACCAAACTGCTGACTGTGCTCTGGCTGATTGCCCCGCTGTCCATCTCAGGGTTTTAGGCATGCAGTGTTACATGGATGAGCACTTCCAGAAGCGGAGGTGGGGACAGTTCTTGCTGTGGGCTTTGTTTGCCTCCTCATTGCCTGGAAACTTTTTCAGTGCCATTTGAAGGCAATTCCTCATCACTGGGGTGTGCATCTTTTGGCAGCCACGCTGTCGTGGCTGCTTTGCCTGCATGAGGGCTGAGGTGCTGAGAGCCCAGAGCAGGTGCTGTGGGGATGGAGGTGATTTTCATAGTTCCCTGCTCTCTTTGGCAGGAGAGGTGGTGAACACCCACGGCCCCGTTGAACCAGACAAGGACAACATCCGCCAGGAGCCATACACTTTGCCCCAGGGCTTCACCTGGGACGCGCTGGACCTTGGGGACAGAGGCGTGGTGAGTAGGGGCAGCTCAGTGTGTGAGTCCCCATCGCATGGTTCAGTGCTTTGACGTCTGGAAGTGACTTTTGGAGTGCTGAAGCCACACCAGAAGTGTTCTGGATCCTGGTTCAGGGCTGCTGGCTTCAGCAGGTGAACAATGCTGGTTGAATAACTCGCTTGACCTGCTTGATCTCTCCTCTAGCTGAAGGAGCTGTACACGCTGCTGAATGAGAACTACGTGGAAGATGATGACAACATGTTCCGCTTCGACTACTCTCCTGAGTTCCTGCTGTGGTGAGTGGCAGCGCAGCCGCAGAGCAGAGGGTGCGGGATGCTGCGGGCTCAACCCCAGCCAGAGCACTGCAGCTGCTTCCCAGTGACCCAGAGCTGCAGGATGAAGGTGACTGCCAAGTAACGCTGCCAGCAGTAGCACTTGGAGACCTGTTGTAGCTGAGCTGCTGTTTCCTCGGGGCATTCGTGAATCGAGGAGTGTTGATTTCTTCCTGTGTCACCGGTGGCCTTGGCCAGAAGGAGCAGGAATGCCTCCCAGTGTTCCTGCACTGTCATTCTGTGGTCACCTCTTGTCCTCCTCCCTGGGTGTCTCGGTGGCCTGGAGCAGGTTTTGGGATGTTTCAGGGAGGCAGCAGGAGGTGCGTGTAGAACCTCGGGTGTGCTGTGTGCTGTGACCACCAGCGTGTGTCTCTCATCCAGGGCGCTGCGTCCCCCAGGCTGGCTGCCCCAGTGGCACTGTGGTGTCAGAGTGGTCTCCAGCAAGAAGCTGGTTGGGTTTATCAGTGCGATTCCTGCCACCATCCACATCTATGAAACGTAAGTTCTGCTCGCATGAGTTTCTCATCCTGTCCCTTGGTGGCATTCCAGGTCGATGCCCTTCAGCCATGGAGATGCTTGGCTGCTTGGAGGACAAGACTGGGGATATTTAGGATGGGCTGCAAGGTTCTGTGCAAGGATGCCATGTAGCTAACAACCCCGAGGGCTGTTTTCACCATGAGTGAGATGAGCGTAGAGCTCTGCCCCACAGAAATCCAGAGCTGGTTGGAGACTATTTCCTGGGAAAACCTTGTGTGGCAGCTTCAAGGAGAGCTCTCCAAAGCCAGACCTTGCTCCTTGACCTCCCATGGGCCTTGTCTGTGTTTCAGGGGAGCAGGAATTAAATTGCTCAGGGCGTTGGATCCCGCTCAGCACAGTTGGGTCTCACGTTTTGCATTGTTTCTTTCCACAGAGAGAAGAAGATGGTGGAGATAAACTTCTTGTGTGTCCACAAAAAGCTGCGTTCAAAACGAGTGGCTCCAGTCCTGATCCGTGAGATCACACGAAGGGTTCACCTGGAGGGGATCTTTCAGGCTGTTTACACAGCAGGAGTGGTGCTGCCAAAGCCTGTGGGGACATGCAGGTGAGCTCCAGTTCTCTGAAAAGATCTAGGACTGATGAAAAGCTCTGCCCCTTGTGCTGCAGAGGATGGGGATGGCTGCACTTATCGGTGTGGGGCTCCCTGAGGCAGCACACGTCAGCCTCAGCCCAGGTTTCTCCTCCCTGCAGTGTCCTTCAGGGATTATCCCAGCAGCTTTGCTTAAGCTGCTCCTTTATCACAAGGCAGGAGGCTCTGCAGCACACGCTCTTGTTTTTCTCTCCTGGAGCTCCTGGCCGTCCCCTTTGCAGTGTTCTCGCTTGCCCTCTCATGGCAGCTTTGAGAACCTTGCGCTCCTTCCCGCTGCCCAGGAACGGCCTCCCCCAGCAGATGTGTTTGTGCAGGTACTGGCACCGCTCCCTGAATCCTCGGAAACTCATCGAGGTCAAATTCTCCCACCTGAGCAGGAACATGACTATGCAACGCACCATGAAGCTTTACCGGTTGCCCGAGGTGGGTGAGCTGGGAGTTGGACACACACAGACCTCAGCAGAGGCTGAATCCTCTGCGTGGAGAACGGGCATTGGTTTATGTAGTAAATAGCTTTATCGAGCCATTAGGTTTTCTTTAATCATTGCTTATTTTACCCGGGTACCTGCATTTTGAGGGTGACTCCTGGCAACCACAGGACCCCTGCGATCTTTTGTTTCGCGGTGACTCACATCCCATCCTCCTGGTAAAGCAGGAATGCAGAAGTGACAGCCCTCATCTGTCCAAACGCAGCCTCACAGTGACCTTGAGTTGGGTCAGTCCCTCATTCCTCAGTCACACTGATGGGTTCTGGTGCCACCGTTGTCCTGCTGGGGAACTTCCCCATCTGGATAGAGGAGAAAAACAAAGCGTTCAGATTGCCACCACCTGCCCTGCCCTTGTTTGTTTCCTTCTGGTGGTGGGAGCTGCCTGTTTCATTTGGAGGAGGCTGCTTTTCTATAGCTGCTGCTTTTTGAGCAGAAAGTCAGACCCACATCTCAGCTCAGAGGCATCTGGGGAGTGAAGGCATTCCTTTGGGGACAAAGCTGCCCTATATGTGGTGCCAGTGACTTTTCTTGCTTTCTGCAGACCCCCAAGACTCCGGGCTTGCGGCCAATGGAGCACAAAGACATCCCTGCAGTGCACAAGCTCCTGACTGAGTACCTGAAGCATTTCCACCTGACGCCCGTCATGAGCCAAGAGGAGGTGGAGCACTGGTTCCTACCTCAGGAGAACATCATCGACACCTTCGTGGTGGAGGTGAGGGGGAGGAACGAGGCAGGGCTGTTTTCTTGGGATCATCTCGGTGTGAGCTGCTGCAGGGCGCTGCTTCCCATGTGGGGAGAGCTGCCCCAGATCTCAGGGAGCCCTTACAATTGTAGAATCATTGTGGTTGGAAAAGACCTCCAAGATCACTGAGTCCAACCCCAAGCCATCCCCACCATGCCCACCAACCACATCCCCAAGTGCCACATCTCCACATTTTTATGGCAGGGAAACTAAAAGGGCATTTCCAGAGGAGGCAGAAATGAAGTGATGCACATGAAATCCAGTCCAAGGCCATAACTTCAAACCCATCCGTACAGCACGTACAGCAGTGTGAAACTGAGAACGCCGTGTGGAAATTTAGGGAGTTTCACCCCTCCAGGAATGAGCTGGGCGGTCTGAGAGCAGAGAAGAGTGCAGATCAGTGCTCCCATGCTACAGTTTAAAGGCTCTGGGCAGGCAATAACCCAGCCCTGACGCGCTGTGGTGTCACACTTTTGCCTTTCAGAGCACCCCAGGGGAGGTGACAGACTTCCTGAGCTTCTACACGCTGCCCTCCACCATCATGAACCACCCGACCCACAAGAGCCTGAAAGCTGCTTACTCCTTCTACAACGTCCACACCAAAACGCCTCTCATCGACCTCATGAGCGACGCTCTCATCCTCGCCAAGTCGGTGAGCACAGCGGGGCTGGGCGGCTTGGAGCCTCATCATCCTCATATTTTGGGGTGCAGAGAGCCAGAGAGGGTCAGGAAGCACTCACACGGGAGAACTGCCCAGCACATAAGCTGATGGCTTTGTATTTTGCTCGTACAGAAAGGATTTGATGTCTTCAATGCACTGGATCTCATGGAAAACAAAACTTTCCTGGAGAAGCTGAAGTTTGGGATTGGGGACGGGAACCTGCAGTATTACCTGTACAATTGGAAATGTCCCAGCATGGCACCAGAGAAGGTGAGTGGGGTCCTCCAGCCCAGAGGACCTGAGGGACGGGCTCCAGAGGTGGGGAGTTGCAGCTGAGAGGAGGTTGTGGGCTGGCAGATACACAGCAGTGGGCGCAGCGGTCCTTTCTGTGTGCCTTGAATGCACTGTGCAGCACTACGGCTGTGTGTCAGCCTGGTACAGGACACCATGGTGGGACAATACCAACAGGAGCCCCTCTGGAGGGAGCTGAACTGCTCCACCGCACGGCATTGTGGCTCAGCATCCATCACACTCCCAGGGAGTCCTGGGTGGGATGGGAACCACGCTGGGTGTAGCCATGGAGAGCCGGGCGCCGTCCTGCTGTGCAGCACAGTGCTCCTGCAGTCTGCCCATCGCCACAGCTCATTAATACTAATGGCATTCATTAGGGTCTCTGCCATCCCGAAGGCAGGAGAGCCTGCAGAAGCTCGTTAGAGGTGTGAGGACTGACAGGTGTGGAATAGGGATTTCTGACACCTCCAGCTGCAAAGTCCGGGCTGATCTGAGTCACGCAGCTCCCACAGGGCACAAATCCATGCAGCTCAGCGCAGCTTTGCTCCACCACTGAGCTCCCAGAGATCTCTGCAGGGCTGCTCGAGCAGCTCCTCACCGGAGAGCTGGCGGGTTTGGGGCTGCAGCCCTCCCAGCAGCAATGGGCCGGGAGTTCCGTCCATCCCGGCTGGGTTTGAGGTAGGAGACAGTCACTTGTCGCTTGCAACCCACATCTCTTTGCTCTCCAGGTTGGACTGGTGTTGCAGTAAGTGACCCTGTGAGGATGGCACGCTGTCACTGCGGAGCCTGGCCTGGCTGAACGTGGCGCCACATGGAAGTGAGCCAGCCCTGCCTGCCCCGACTGATGTCACCGACTGCATCCCCAGGCACCAGCAGTGCTCTCCTTTGTTTTGAATTAATTGCATCCTCCTAAAGACATGATCAAGGGAATGTAACTGCTGAAACTAGCTCATGATTGGCATATAATGGAGTTAACGGGTGAATAATAAAAGTATATATTATATATATTTTAAATCTTTCCTGTTCCAAACTGGCACGAATGCATTCAGCTGCTGAAGGCTACCACCTGCTCCTTGGTGCCATCCCTCCCTGCTTGGGAACACCTCAATATTTGGTTTTAAGGGCTATTTGTGCAAGCAATGCCTTGTCCCTTCTCCTCCCCAGCCTCGGAGACTTGAAGCCTCAGGGCGAAGATGCAGGGGACCCAGCTTGGAGCACATCCACATCTGCCACCCCATGCCACCTCGGTGCACTGTGCTCAGATGTTTTTCTCTCCATGCCACCGAAGTCCAGCCTGCATGCCCTACAACGTGCCATCAGCCTTCCTGGGGGCTCAGCTGCTCCCAGTGCCTCCTGCACAGGCTCGGAATCAGGATCAGATTCATCCATGGAACCCTTTTTCCTGAGAAGACGTCTGTTTCCATCACTCCATTGCTCTCGATCTCCACACCAAAGGTTGCAGAGCTGCACGTGCCCATCTATGCACTCCCAGTGTCCCTGTCCCCCTACTATGCAAGCAGCTCTGCATCCCCTCCTGTGCCCCACAGAGCCAAGAGCCGCCCTGCACTGGTGATGGGGACATCAGCTACAAGTACTGAGCTGGGAGCACATGGGACTTTCTGGGGCTGTAGGACAGTGGGATGAACCAGGCTTCAACAAGCCCCCAGCACTGGGGAGAGCATCAGAAAAGGGGGCTCAGCCATTTCCCCCTGCATCTCCTCCCTTTGTCCCCAGAGCCACCCCTCCTGCAGGTGACAGCAGGTGAAGGGGACACGGGGCAAGCTGTTCAATAAACCTTTATTCAATCCACTGGGCACCGGGTACAAATCTCTGTCAACAGTTCTTAAGCACCAAACCATGTGGTTTGTGCCACGACTGTGGAGGCAGGGTCTCCTTGGGGACACTGTGGCAGGCACCATCCCTGCAGCCCAAAGGAGTCGGGATGGAGTCGGTGAAGCTGCTGTCACCATCATGTCCCTCCAGATGCATTGGGAACATGGTGGCTGGGCCACCCTGTCCTGGTTGTCACCATGTCCCCATCTCCTCCTGGTCTCAGCCAGAGGGGAGAAGTGGGGTGTGAGCGCAAGCAATTGGGGCACAGGCAGGGTCCTCTACCCTGCTGGAGACCCCAGGCAGCCCTGCTGTCACCCTGGCTGGACAGCAGTGTCCCCATTCTGTCCCTGCACCCCATTCAGGAGCGCGTTGGCCACGGGGACATCATGGGCGTTTGCATGTGACGTGCACAAAGAGCGTGGCAGGGGCCAGGGACGCGCCGTCCTTGGAGAGCAGGTGGATGTGGCGGTACCCTGGGGACAGAGCAGGCACTGAGTAGGAGACGCGGGGTTGTCCCCTCCCCCAGTAGGGGGGCACCCACCTTCTCGCATGCTGCCCAGCGGCAGCGTGAACTGCCCCACGAAGTCATTGCAGGAGGTGCTGTCGTGGTCCTCCACCACAAAGCGCACCAACGCCAGCTCAGGGACCCGCAGCTGGAACGTGAGCGTCTCCTCCCAGCGTGGGTTGAAGCCTACAGGAGTGCATCAAGAGGGGTCACTGCCCAGGGAATGGGGAACAGTGGGAGCAGGCTGAGATGAGCTGGGAGGAACGGGGACCGTTATGGGGTCAGGCTGAGATGTACCGGGAGGAATGGGGACCAAACTGGCCCCCAGTTTGGCCAGGTTGAAATGTACCGAGAGGAATGAGGATCATAATGGGACAAGTTGAGATGTACCAGGTGGAATGGGATGGCACTGGGATATATTGGAGGAAAAGGTGGGACCAGGCTGGAGTATATTAAAAGAAATGGGGACCATAATGGGACTGGGTTGCTGTGCACTGAGAGGAATGGGGATAATAATGGGATCACCGTTGTTGCTCCTGTAGGCGGTTTGCTGCTTGCTACAGTCCGCCGTCACCCCGTAGATCTCCACTCTGACAAAAGGGTCCACGATGGAGCTGAGCTTCTCCCGGTTCAGCTTTGGCAGCTGCTGTGCCGTGATGACCTGGGGACAGCAGGGGAACAGGGTGACACCGTGGGGGTCCCTGTGGGAAGGGACATTGGGAAGGCATGGCGGGTGGCACGTGGCTGGACATGGGGTTGGTATCACCCATATGGGATGCAGGCAGCAGCAGTAGGGGAGCCTCACCCTGATGCGCAACACGAGGGGGTGGGGGCTGCCGCTGTGGGGGTTGAGCAGGAATTGGGGTTTCAGAACGTAACCACAGCCCCCGTTGCCCAGGAAGCGCCCGGTGTTCAGGTCCATCTCATAGCCTGGCGTCTGGAAGTTGAGGGCCACTGCAGGGACAGAGACGGGGCCATTGGGGTGGATGTTGCATCTCAGGGGACGTATGGGGCTGAGGGCTCACCCAGCTGGCAGCCGGCGTTCCACATCTCCTGGGGGTTGTAGTTGGAGGAGGTCATCTTCAATCCCAAAGGGTAGACGCGGCTCAGCTGCCGGGAGGTGTAGCGCACAAACGTGGGGCCTGAGTGGGACAGTTGGGTGGGGTGGGGGCCACATGGTGCCACGGACCTCAAAACCTGACCCCAAAACCTGTCCCCAAACTTCAGACCCTGACCTTGAGTCTGGATCCCAATGGACCACAAAACCTGAACTTCATCCCAACCCCAGACCTGATCCCAAACAGACACACTGCACCCAAACGCCAGATCCCAAATGTTGACCTTTCCACCAGAGCCTCCATTCCCACCAGTCCTGAGCATCCTGTGCCAATGCCCAAACCCAGCCCATGGGCCTCCTCAGCAACCACAACCTTGTGCCCTGGAGAAGCCAGAGCAGCTCTGTCCTCATCTCTGTCCCTGACCCCCTGTCCCCATCCCACTGCCTTTACCTGCCTCCTTGATGAGTTTCCGAGCCTTCCTCTCGCTGAAGGAGGACATCTCATAGGGCCGGGGCTGCTGTAGGGCCTGGGCCAGGCCAGGGAAGGGGGTGGCCTGGCAGTACACCACCATGGCTGACAGCTCTGGGGCCACATGGGAACCATCTTTGGCCTGTGGAGTCACCCCAAAGTGATGGAGGTGCCAAAGCAATGGACATCCCAACATGTCAGATACCCCAAAGCAAAGGA